CCCCAAAACCCCAAAACCCCAAAACCCCATATGAAAAGATATGCTCTGTATAGTTCAATTGAATAATATTGTTATTTGGAAATGTCGAATAAATTGAATTCATCAAATAGTTTAATGCATCCTACCCACAAATAGTAAAAATCCTAGAAAATCTCTGCTAACGGTCTTTCTACCATCATGAATGAGTGCGATGATTTCTTCAACTAAATGACCTCGGAATTCCAACATGTTGATAATATTTTCAAACCATCTATAGGGATTCAAAATTCTGGGAAAAAGAATGATTCTTTTCAAAATAATTATGATTTCCTGGCAGCAGATGATGGCGCTAATGATTCAGAAGATGACTATTCTCAAGATTTATCACATGAAAAGTCAAATTTAAACATATCAGCCAATAAATAATCATACTAAAAAATTTCCAAGACTGCAGCTAGTCCAATTAACAAGAGTAAGGGAAGTCCCAACTTTAACCAGCTAGATATGGAAGATCCTACAGATGAGACAAATTATCGCTCCTCACCTCCCTAAAATAAAGATGAAAGAGATATTCTTCAGGACTATCTCGGAGATAATAAGCAGAGGTAGAAGAGCGCAAAAAAGGTAAATATGATGGATGAGTACATGAAGATGTTTAACAAGCAACAACCAAATTAATTGTTAAACAACAACAAAGCAGGAAATTTCACATAGCCAATCACTCCTTCATAGAAGCAAAATTAGCAGCAGAATTATTTCCTATTCAATGAAAACGCTAATTCTTAGATTTAGGATTTGAAAGCTGGAAGCTAAAACAACGAAACAGCCGATGATGAATTAGATAGTGCTATCATTAAGATAACAGATCACTTAGCCTCTTTCGGATTTCCAGATCCAGGTAATTTAAGATCCAATAAGAAAAAGGATGTAAGAAAACGCATTAAGTGCCTGGTATAATTACTAAAGCAACGTCAAAGAGATCTAGATTATCGCCAGTAATATGAAGGCAAGATGATCAGACTTCAATAAGATAGAGATATGTATGAATAGAAATACAAGTAAGCTTCGACAAAAGTTCAAGAATTAGACAAGGAAAAATATGCTCTCTAATTATAGATAAAAGATAAAACTAATGAGGTAAAAAATACAATAGATAGACAAAAGACCCTTAGTAAAGGCCATACTGAGGTTAATGTTAAACTTGAGTAAAGAGTTAATTTATTGAGCATTGAAATTAAGAAATTAGAAACTAAAAATACAAAACTTTAAGATCAAATCAAAAGATTAATGGGAATTGATAAATGCCAATATAGCAACAGTATTGAAGCAACTTCAAAAGCCATTAATGGCCAAAACATCTTCCGAAACCTTCCTGAAAAAGAATATTCTGAGTAAATACAAAAAGGAAACAGTATTGTCTAAGATCGATTATTATAAGAAAATCACCATTTGAAGGATTGCTTACTCTTAATCCATTAAAGCCTTAAGGGTATAATGGATCAGCATTTTGTGCCTTTATTTAAGCTTTCACCAGCTTAGATTCCAGTGAGCCTCCTGGATGAATTGGGCTTTTTAAAGAACAATCAATTCAAATTAGAGCAAGTTATCACTCCTCTGATGCTAAATATTCCTCAGAATACTTAATCGCTATCAAATATGATTAAGTTATTCAATGAAAACTTAAAGAAGATTGAACACTTCTACATTGATATCCTTAATCCCCTTAATATTTGTCAGATCATCTTAGATATTAATAACTTATTGGCTGAGAAAAGTGCTTTATCCAAAGATGGGTAATCTATTGTGTATACTCCAATTACCACATATGAGGAATTGAAGTAGATTATAAAATCTAGTACCATTCAGATTAATTTGCTTGGGTCTAATAATAACTAGAATGCTACTAATAAAGCCAATTAAGATGGAGATAATGGTGCTGAAAGAGGTAGATAGAGTAATGTGAACAAACCCCATGCTACTAGCAAATCAAGAAAGAAGTGGTCTGAATAAAATGATGGGAACAAATCTCCTGAAAATCCAATCAGCAAAGTTCAGTTCTAAAAGCCAAAACAACAGCAAGAATAGGTAAATCTTGCAAGGAGAATGTTTTAAAACACCTCAAGTTTCCATGGAAACCCCAACTATGATGAATGAATTTAGCAATCAAAATTGATTAAGATTATATTATTATGCAAAGAATCAAGTTAAAGAATTTTTAAGATATTTACTTTAAATTATTGTTAAATTCTTAAAATTATGTCAGAACGGATACAAATATCAAAGGTCTTCATGAATGCTTTCTTCCTATAAATTCTCTAACTATTCCTATTGTTATGCACTATTCTCTTCAATTGACTAATCAATCTCCTCTTTATTCATGCTTTCACTGTTGTTTTCTTTATCCAAGTCAATGATTTGGTCCTCTTAATTTTGTTAATTTTCTTGAGTTTCTTGAGATTGCTATTAGTTTTAGTTCTCTTCTTATTCATTTTTCTCTCTGGGCATACCTATTTTAGAAACATCAACTGGATACTAGAATTCGGTATCAGCATGCTTCTGAATGTAAGTCAAGATTGAGCCAGCAATACCTTAGCCAATATATTTCTTGAATGGAGCTTTCTTGTGATATGCTGGGAAGAAGTAGATTTATGGTAGATCTGTAGTAAACTCAATACCTTCAGGGAAGGCATTTACATTAATGTCATAGCTTACTACTTTAATGTAATCTTACATTTACAGTTTGATAAAGGCATCAGCTACTAAATTAAACTGTAAAGCAATGTTTCTTTGCACATTATGAACAACTTCTGTTGTATAGAATAATACGACGACATCAAAGCCCTCAGAAAAGGCGATTTCATAAAAGTTTTCTCTGTTAGCTACTATTGTATTATTTAATAAGTATGTTTAGATGTCAGTATCATTCACTATTCTATCAAATCCAGTTGTTTTTACTGAAACTTTACCCTTAACAATATCATCAAACCAATCGAACAATATATCTCTTTCGATAGGTTTACCTCTAGGGTAAGGAATGACTCTGTTATCAATCATGTTAAAAGCCATTGATGGTAGTTCATCCCAAGTCACACCCAAGACTCTCTTTCTAAGATAAAATTACGTATTATTCACATAAAGGAATCCCATGATATGTGAAAACTTAGGAGCAACTTATCTCATTACCTCAACTGCTTTATAACAAGCCTTAGAATATCTTTGATCTTCGAAATCAACGAATGTCAAAAACATTGGTTGTCTCAATAGCTCATAGATTCTGTAGCTTTCATTATTGAGTTCATCAACTTCTTTTAGTGTATGTTTATTTATCCAATTATGAATGAATATATGATCCTCACTCGTCAAATCATAGTTCAACAATTCGCCATCATATCTCTTCATAACTAAAGAAGACATTGCAATTGATGAGAACATTCTTACTGAGTACTTGGCTTTCATTTTCTTAATCAGTCTTTGGTTATCAACAAAACCTATTCTAAGATTATCTCTTGTGGCTAAGTACTTAGCATCGCTTTTAAGATTCTTGTATTCCTCCCTATACTCTTGCTTGTCATAAATGAAGCATATAACACGTGTTTTATATCTCAGCTATGAATAATGATTTTCCATTCTTGGTACTACATCCTAATTGTTTTTAAAGAACTTGGTCTGATAATCAGCATCCCAAAATTTCTCATGGTCTAAAAACAATTCAATCTCCTCTTCTGTTTTCAGAGTAATTAGTGGATTTAGGATTCTGTTTATTTGGTGAAGCAGCAAATCCATTCTGTCTAATGGTTGATCGAAACCATAGAATCTCTAGTCTCTAATTGTAAGTTGTAAGCTAAGATATTATACTTACTTTATTATGATTACTTTTGGAACATTTTCAAAAGTAATTTCTTCCTTCTCAAGGAATTGATTTTTCTTTGAAGTGTCTATTCTAGCGATTTGAATCTTTTTCCCCTTATATAGATATTTGTTATTTTGGAAAAGGTCCTAGAGTTCTTTCAATAGAGGCTCACTTTAGCAGCAAAGAGGACATTCACTGTCTGAAACACCAAGAATAAATAGCTCATTCTTCTTTTTAAATCTATAATTCTCATATTACATTGATCTAATTACGAATCCCAGTTGGCAGAAGTGAGGAGGACATCTTTAACACTCAGTGTTGGAAGCTCTTCTTTGCAAAGTGGAGGTAACTATCTTTTAGGAAGTTCAGTTGTTGTTGGCGCACTTTGCTCTTCTTAGCTAAATTCTTATTATGTCTCGACATTTTAATTTTCAAAATCTTAAGAATCTTCAATTAGATCAGATTAAGTTGCTCTCACTGTGACTGAAAGCATTAATGAAAATGATATCAAAAGCAAAAGTAATTTATGGAATTTTCTAGACGCCATGATAACAAATTAAAAATTTATATATTTATAAAATATTCCCAGAAAATGTTTTAGTGGGGTTTTGGGGTTTTGGGGTTTTGGGGTTTTGGGG